AAAAAAACTGCTAAAAAGCAATATCCACGGAAGTCTGGGTTTCCTGTTTGTCTCTAGCTATCATATTGGGAGGATATCATTCAATTCTATAATTACAATGCGGTTTATATTCTGCCATAATTTGCTCGTAACTTCAGATTTATCCATCAGAAGAGATTCCTAGTTTTCCCTTTATAAGTTTGCATTCAGGTTCATTTTGTTATCGCAAGAAAAATCATTGTACGAAAAATGGGTTGTATTTTTATTATCTAATCATACATGTGTGGTATTTGTTACACTGACCCTCATCCTCCCTCTTAATATACAACAGATAGTAAACAGATAGAAAACCTAAGTTATCTTTATTTTAAGGGCCTATATCCTTGTTTATGAACAACAGGTAATATTCTGCATCGATGTCTAATCATTTTTTGGTTTCACTATGCTCTGAAGTACAGTGCACATTCCATGGATTATCACTGTATGTACAGAGATCGCTTAGTATTAAAAGTGGGTGATCAAAGACTCGACAAGATGCGCAAAATTCAAATATCGTGTAACGGTTATTTTTAAAAGATTTATTTGTGTTTATATTACACGCTACTGGTGATTCAATAAGGTTTTGTAGGCACAAGAACACCCATATGCTTTGAAAAATATATATTACTTTGACCATTTTTCGTATATGTGATCGATTTTACGATGTAAAGATATTAATGCGATATAATATGTGCTGTTTTATTTAAAAAGCTTTAAGATATCAAAAACAAGAGAAGATTTTTACTCACTCTAATTTTTTATACTTAGGTAGGGACTTGGGCTTCCATTTGACCATGATAAAGTTCACGTTTCCTCTTAAATAACATGGAATAAATATTTTAACACAGAAATGAATGGATCAGCCAATAGCGTGAGTTTCAGCAGATCATACACCCATAACTATATGCTTTAAAGAGAAGAAAAATGGGGTTTCATGCAAAATGTATGTCCAAATTAAAATAAACATGTACATCACCGTTCATTGATTCATTCGATTAAATAGTCACTGTATGCGTACATTTTGTTATTCTGTCTTTGTTTGAATACAATACGATATGTACACTGTACACTGCTAAGAGAAAAACCTCTTGAAGCGTAACACCTTATAAATGGAACAGTTTTTAAAGTCACATTTCAGTCCATTTATTTTACCCTTTGATTCCAAGGTATGAAAACTTTACACCTTGGCATCCAAGACGATTGTCGAATTGTAATGCAAGAATTGAATAAATCATAAATGAAAATGTATGTCACTGTATCACCCATTGTCATGATTGTGGTTGTTATGGACATGGGGTCTCATAATAAACTTATTAAATCTGAATTGTACACTATCTATTTCATTGGGGAGTTAAATCATTCTTTTGCAGCAAGGTATCAATAAGTTATATAAAAATGTAATGACCTTCAGTAGATGCCAGTAGTCAGTTCCCAGTTTCACCACGAGGTGGCTAACTTGGGTCATATGTAAATAATAGGTATAGGGGAAAGCTGCCCTATAGTTCAATATTCAGAAGATTTATTGATCAATTTTCAACTAAGGTGTATAGGTGATTAGCTTGAAAATGTTGGAATTGTATGTAATCGAATGCAAAATAAACGCCCAGTAGGCGTTTTTAAAGAAACAAAGTGTGAAATAAATACTATGCTATTCTAGACAACGTTATGTGGATGGGACTGAGGAAAAGTTCCAGTTTAGGCTTTGGTCATATGTACATTAAAGATTTGTTTGATTTATAATTAAAACCAAATCTTTACTTGTCAAGCTCATAGTTCTTGTAATCATTTTAAATTTGCCTCTATTTTCAATAATCTTTCTCATCTTCATCTCTTCATCTTCATGGTGATATAAGGTGATTTATAATGTTTTGAAATTTAACAGTTCGTAGTGAAGGACAATAGAAACATGTAAATCCAACCACTCTGAAATGCAAAGAACATATCATTAGAATCCACATGGTAAAATCACTCACTTGGCTGATCATAATTTTTTTTTATAACATTCTCCTTACTCAATACTGAAGGGGAGTTGGAACGTCTGATATGCATGTAATGTTAAGTTTTATGTATATTAACCATAGATGATATTGGTTTTGTGGTTTTGGCAATCTAAAAACAGAAAATTTTGTGAAAAATACATTTTCGTTCGACGGGTTTTTGATTTTGCTTCTTTTATCAACTCAGTTCAGGTATTTCGGTTGATTTAATCACTGAATCCTGTTACCAAATGAATCTTGAGTCTCTTATACAGCATATGGAATACCATCTGTAGGTAAAATGATTTTAAACTGGTAAAGAGAAGACAAACAAACATACCTTTCCTCCGACATTTTGGATTTTGCGCATCTTGTCGAGTCTTTGATCACCCACTTTTAATACTAGGCGATCTCTGTACATACAGTGATTATACTACTCATTCCGATCCAATGAATTATTCAGTGGAATACGGAATCACAACTCCTTGTTTTTATGTGGCCACCTTTATTGTTATGGTCTCCATCTTTTGTGACAGCGGTTTGTGTCAGGCGTTTGGTGTCTGTAACAAATAGCAGGTAGTGACATTTTGCATATTAATGCCTTGTTTCACCAAGATATGGCCATTGTATTTTTTGATAATCTCAAAAATTCTTGCAGTCTTATAGCCCCAAATATGGACCTACGATAAGATAATACAGAGCCAGAACTTTATTCAGATATTTCTGACCCACTCTTCCAAAATATCTCAGAATAGTCAGCAGTCAGGCAGGAACTGATTAAAGCACTGGATTTCATTAATTTATTTTGTATCTTGTACGTTTATTGTGATTAATTGCTCACTTGCATCTGAAGTCCCCCTTCGTCAACTGCGGGGAGGGGCTCGTTGGCATCGGGATCTTTCTCTAGCATGTTATCTAAGTAGAAAAAACATAAGAGAAATAAAAAAAGAATTTGAAATTTTAGATAGGGTCTTCAGGTCTTGGTCAGGTAAGAATTCTGTTATTCACCAACAATTATTGCAAGAATTTGTACTTGGGTACCCTTGCTTTTAATATGTTCCTGTATCTCTCTGTTTAGCTTATTCATTCCATTTATGTATGATATCTCGCATTTCTGCAGAAAACATACAGTGCATACTATATGTATGTACTCTTTACCTCTTGAAAATTTCATCTCCCATGCTGCATTTTATTTTTAAACCATGTCTACTATGTTATTTTATCCTTGGGTTCGCCCTTACATTTTCTCAATTCCAAAGGAGGAAGAGTTCCTAACAAGGAAATAACATGAAGTAAATACTCTTAAACGAATACAAAGTGCTCTTATACTGCTGAACAATCAGATTATCTAAAACAGCTTTTTTCTTATAAGTATTTCAAGAAATATGAGTCGTTAAGGGGCAATAGGAAGTTGTCTCAAAGGAGTATCATTTTCGTTATAGACAGACTCATGGTTTCATAGAATAAGGAGGAAGATTCTAAGTAAAGTACACTGTGCTCTGAATACATATCGTCTCCAGAAGTTAAGGTCAGACAAACTTTAGTCATTGTTGGAAGAGAACCATTTTAAACTTGGATTACCATTGAAACATGCTCAATACACACTATAATTTAGAAGGATGAGCCAGTATATTTACATTACTAAATAGGAAAACCTGTTTAAAACTGCAGTATGATTGAATTAAAGTACATGTACAAAGGTCTCTGGATTTGATCTATACCAGCATATAGTTTCATCATATTATAGGATTATCTAATTGAGATATTTAACTACAAATCAGGCTATAATCAGCAATAGTTGGATGTGATCTATCTAAGATTTAAAACCAGCATATTTACATTATATACCATAATATATTGTACAAATCACAGAAATCTGGATGTATGTTAGCGAGTTGTATATTGTGTTGACAGTTGATAGGAAAAGGTAGGTTCACTGATTATTTTTATGAAACATTTGAAATTTTTAAGAAAATTTAAGGTCTTGATTTAGGAAAGTTCATACCCTGAGTCTTAGAGGCCAGTAGTATTTCATAAAGCTCTCTTTAAAGAAAAGAAAGCAAACTTTTAAAAAGAGTATGAGGAAATAAACATTACGTTAAACTTATAAGCTCACTAACTTTTGTACGCTTCACATTTGTTTGACTTAGCTTCTTAAAAGATACATTCATCTCCTAAAGAACTAACCTCTGCCTTCAGTGTAAAACTACCAAGGAAGCATCAATGAGGGCCAGATTCCAGTTAAAAACTGTTAGAATTCTGTAAAACCAGGTCTTGAGTCTGATAAATATGTCTTTGATACCAGAAATAAGGTTTTATTATCAAAATTTGATGTGGTCTGGATCCTGGAAAAATAGAGTATTGGATAGAATGTTTATTTAAATTCATTCATTTGAAAAGATTTGGCATAATATGAATATGAATTATATAATATTTTCATTATCAATATGATTTCTAACCATATTGGCCTCGTATCAAATTTATTTTATAGAAATTATATATGCACGATGAATAGAAATTCAATTTAGTCCTGGAAGGTCATTTAGGTTGACCAATTTTTGAGTTTTGGTTTTGGGTTTACCAGCTAAACATTAATGTATTTGGTGGGATGGTAACACATGTTCATAATTCAATTAAAAATAGAGTAAGTGCCATGATTAATTAATTTAATCCCATGTTAAATTACATCATGTTAGCCTAATTGTATATATCGGATTATGTGTGATCATATGATGTTATATTCATTATCTTTATATGTATGCACATGTGTTAATATAACATAAACTGTGGATAGGCTTTGAATTCACTCAAAAGATGGATGTATATTTTAAAAGTTATTTATTTATTCATAGGCATTGACATAATATGATAATTTGAGGATGTAAAGAATGCATTTGCTATTTGGAGTGGACCCATAACACCATAAGATGAATATTGCAAACGGGCTTGGACATACTTGTCTTTATTTTGTTTGAAACCTACATAATCTCTCTTTTCTATTTCCAGTGATGGCGGCTTTCTATCTCGGACTGGTTCGAAAAAAGAGCCACGGGAACACGCCAGAAATGCTTATACCCCCACACCAACCAAAATGATGGGACAAGACAAAGGGGACACTGTGAACCATACGCCATCGCAGTTATCTTCGTCATTACTACGCAGTGAGGCTAGTCCCAGCCAGTCATGTGACTTACCCACGTATAATGACAATGTTGTGGTAAGTGAATTTTCATAGATATATCACAGAGGTCATCAGAAGGTATACCTGTTTATATAATGAGGAAATGCTTAGTTTTGCATTTACATACAGTAGACCTGTCTGGCATAAACACTGCTGGTATTTGATAAAATATGTTTTGATACTAGATATTTAATGCAAAGGCTGAAACCAAAATATGTTCATGTTTTAGGGGTTCTTTTAGGCTAGGCTATGTTACACAGGAATGGTGATTTTATCATACCTCAAAAGGTATGATATTGTCGTCAGCTTGTCCCCTTGGTTACAAGGTTATGGTGTATTATGTTACACAGGAAATATGCCCAAAGTGGATTTCAAATGTGATATATCCAAAAAATTAACTCAGCAATAAACTAACAGTCAACTAAAATAGTTATTTATCTTCACATCACTAATGTTAATCATATATGAGCAGTAAATGAATAGATATAATTTTGTTATGGTGAACACGAGAGCCTCATTTCGCTAAAAACATGTCAAAGTGAAGTTACACTTCCCTCAAAACGTTTGGCAACCTTAGGCACGGGGTGAGATTTAATTTTGGGAAGACCCCAGAGCATGAGATTTTACATTTAGAAATAACAATAATTTCGCACAATTAACTTAAAAGCTGCTTCTTCTCGGACAAAATAACCCATCTTGGGCAATGGCTAAATCAGTCCTTTGTAGGAATTTTGTTTTAAGCCAATTCTGGTCCAATACGAAGTTATTGAAAAATTCAGACGTCCCATACTCCGATGATGAACATTGACGAATAAATATCTGGAATAGTCGTAATATTGTTGAAACACATGTTCTTTCAAATGTGTACATCTTTGTTTTGTTTTATTTCAATAAAATTTAAAATATTTCTTGGGACGTCCCTGAGGCTGGCAAGTCCCCGCGTTAAATAATTCAAAACGCTGTGAAATTAATTATTTAAAAGCGTATATCGTATATTGTTCAATTTATTCATTCTTTCATTTGTTTAGTATTAATTTACCCATCACTTTTCCAAAGAAAAATCAATCATTGCAAAAAATGATTTTTTCCAGATACACTCCACTCATCTAAGAGATTCTATAGAATTCAATTTTTTATCGTTCCAGTTTACTTGCTCTCCATTTTCATGTTAAAGAGAGAATCAGAGCAGTCTAAACAAAAAATTGTTTCAATTTTAGAATATTTCTGGCTCATGTCGTTCCTTTTCATGTCTATTTTCTAAAAATCACAAAAGTGCATACTTTATTCCAGGAAAACTAAAGATTTTTACAAAAATGTATTATTTTTCTATAAAAACGGTTATCATTCTTATTATTTGGGAGAATTTAAACATTTTTCACTCATTTTTTGCACTTTGAATCAATAATAACTTCACCAATTTATTCAAAACGCTGTGAAATGAATTATTTGTGAATCTTTTGGGAGATATTGTATTTGATATTGTAAGGAATGGATTGGTAATTATACATGTTGCTTGTAATTTTGTTACCCCAGATTTAAGCAATACAACTATCCTGAATAGTTTAAAAAGCCTTCGTGTAAACGTTGTGAAAAGTTATCGTAGAAGAACGATCTTTCGGAGTATAGGGTGTTTGCGCCAATTTCAATTACCTTGCATTTGATCCGAACTGGCTTCCAACAAAATTCCTGAAAAATAGTCATAAGCCATTGCATGAGGTGATTTATTTTGTCCTAGTTGTTTGACTTTTTTTGCACGTTGCCTGTTTATTTTACTTTGTGAACATTAAAGTTACAAAGCTACAAGGTCATTTTTGAAAATCATTTTTACGTCCTTTGTTATTTCAATGGGAGAGGTTTCTTGATAAAGCCTATTACCTTCAGACTTTGCTTAACGTAAATAAAGACATCATTTTTGTTAAATAAAATTCAATTGTCTACTTAACTTAATGAAGGTATTAAAATGAATTATATTTCCCCTTCCAAAATAGTTTTTTCTTTACAAATAAGATTTCAAACTTAAAGGTGCTTTAATACATAAGCCAATGGGTTAATTAGGATTGCCAAACTTTTGGAGGGAGTGTAATTGTACAAATTGCATTTTTAAGGAACCCTAATGAAGGGGGGGGGGATTTGTGAATAACATAAAAATAGAACCCCCGGTCACCAAATCCTGGCTACGCCACTGTTGTCCCCTTGGTTACAAGGTTATGCAGCATTATCTATTTTTATATAACACAGGAAATATGCCCAAAGTGGATTTCAAATGTGATATATCCAAAAAACTCAGCAATAAACTAACAGTCAACTAAATTAGTTATTTATCTTCACATCACTATGTTTCACTTATTGATCCCACCCCCTCATTCCAATCATATAAGTCAGAGCTAGAATTATCTGATGTTTGAATTTGATGATTTATAACCAGTAGGGCGTTCCCACATTGAAATCTCTTACCCTTTGCATTCGTTTGACTTCACTTCTTAAAAGAGAGCTTCGTCTTCATTCTCTCTAACTGAAATTAAACTTAATTTCTTCAAGCTCGCTGATTGGTGGAAGGTCAGCGTGTAGGTCAAAGGTGATTTACCCAAACTGTCACCGGTACCCATCGTGGGGGCGGGGCTACTAAACTGTAATATGGTATGTACTAGGCAGAGTGTAGTTTAACTAGACTCTGCACGCAGGGTAGAAATCTCTTGGCGCAACACCTCTAATTATCAACTCCTCACACTTATATTTGTATAATATTGCATGAGAAAGTTCTTCACCCTAAATTCTTCCAAATCAAAAATTCCTGGACCTCTGCCCAGTATCCAAAGCTTTGACTAGTAATACAAAATGTAAAGGGGAAAAGTTATGTAATATTTTTTTCAAATATTTCAAAATTTTGAAAAAATATTAGGTATAGTGAGGATGTTTTATGCAGGTTCACTTGTACTATGCATTAGGCATGAATACAGGGGCAGTTTAAATATACATTAAGCATGAATAGTGTTTTTCATGCAGGGGCAGTTTTAGATGTAGGAATCTATAATAGCAGGAACAGCTGGTCGTGAAGAACCAAGCTGAGTTAGAGTCAGATATGAGAGATGTTTATAAAGGTGGACTAAGGTAGAAAGGCTACTCTAGGTTAATATACACTTCAGTCATACAATGTACAACAGGTTCTTAAACATTTCCATCTATTATATTTTGTACCTTGTGTACCTGGACTGAGCCATTGTTTTTAGAGGTTTGTTCTAAATTCTATTTGGGGATAATTATCTCTGCTTTCATTTTCTGATTTAACAATGTCCTAAAATTGTCGGAAAAATGTAGCATTTGGACTGGAGCCTGTTCTGTTGTTGGAGCCTTGTGAAAGTATTTGGCAACTAGCAAACTTATTTCTGGATCACATTCAGATGCTCTTAAAGTACTCTGTAAGAGATTGTTTTGTTTTGGCTGCCAAGGCTATTTTCATGCTGGTTTTAAATATTGAACGCCATCTATATGTTGATGTTTTTTTCAAAATTAGGTGTAATCCATTTCAATAATTAGCCAGTAGACATAATTGAAAATGATTTAATATAATAAAAGAATGGTCCCCACATGCAGTATGTGAGAGGGATAGGGCAGCAGAAACCAGATGCCAGATTTATCAAGCTTGGTAAAATCTCTCAACATATTGTCAGCATTCTGTGAAACAAGACCTTAACTACTGCAATGAAGTCTTCTACATGTGTATGTGGAGTTATGGCCTTCCTCTTCAGGAGAAAAACAACTGCTAATTATTACATGCCTTATAGTCTTCTTTTGAAAGTAGAAATATCTAGGAGCTATTTTGTAGATGGTGTGTGATCAAAGAACCCTTAATTAGATATTTTATGAGAAAGAATCTCTCAAGTAAATTATTGGAAAGATCTTGTTATTAAATTGGTTCTTTTGAGTTAATTTGATATTTTTCCCAATTAGTCAGAGTCATCTGATCTTTAATTACAGGTATATATGAAGAAAGATGAAAGAATATTTATATAAATTGAAATTTTGTTTGTCCATCTTATCTTCCTGTACCTCATTACATTTATGTTTACATTTCGAATATTTTTTTGAAAATGTAATATATTACATTGTGGATATCTTCTTGAAAATACATTGAAAATACAATATAGATAGGTAGAAAATATTTAGATAGAACAACAGATTTGCGCTGTCTTTGTTTTGAATCATAAAAAAGAACTTTTTTTTTTTTATTTCTATGATACCACCAGAAGTTGTAACATAGAGTTATAATCACCAACTTTTTTGTGAATGGGGGTCAATGGTCATTGTTTGGCTATTGTCAATCTTGTAACAGATTCTTACAACTTTCAATAACCTTTTGTAAGTGGTGATATTTTGTCATGTTAATGCCTTGATAATGTTTGTAATGTCACCTCCAAGAAGTGGTCACATATTGTAGCAGTTGAAGTAGTCTTGCTCAAAGACTGTATCCACCCCCCCCCGTCACCTTCACTCTCTTTACCTGGCAAGAAGGATAAAGGGGGGGGGGGAGTACAGGGTCTTTTAAGCAAGACTACAGTTGAAGCTACATTTTTTGACTGGCAATCAGCATATATCCTACTAATAGAACCATTTGCATATGATGAAGATTATCAAGTTAATGCCTAGTAAATGTTTACCTTTAATAGGCAGTCATTAATAAATTTTTTTAAGTGTGATTTAAAACAACTTGTGAAAATAGGATTAAAAACATATATTCATGGCTTATCTGACACATGTGTTTTAAAGGTGGCAACATATTATTTACCTCTGATACCATAAGATGCTTATCCCTGACATATGTTCACTTCAGTTCATTTCACATTTCACCAAAACATTTCTGGCTTCAGCAATCAAAAATATTCACCACAACCTTTCAGCCCCCACACCGTGACCACTGTTCCCCAAACCAACAACTCTTACCAGTTTTAAAGAATTCATTGAAATGAAACTTAAAATTATATTTTTGTCAATATTTTCGCCTGAACACCAAAGCCTAGGTATGAATTAATAAGCATTTGTATTTTTTATTGTACAAATTTATTTTGTAAATTCAGAAGAGGCAATGATGATTGCATGCCTTATGCCTCAGTCACATTTGATATATGGCAACAGTATGGCTGCTGCAGCATAAGATACAGTGATGAGCAGCTGTAATGTAACTCAAGCATGTTTTTGGCTTTCATATTGAAATATAGATGTCTCACATTGCATTGGATAAACTAAGATAGTTGATTGTATTCTCAAAGAAGTTGACGTTCTGTTTTCTAATATTGTTCATTTTTAGAGACATTTTTTGAATGATGCAGATTTCCTTTTATTTAAGAACTTTCTTGAGTGTTTTCCTGTTGGTAACTTACATTGTTGCGCTGGTATAATATATCATACGCTTCATTGTACGGTTGTTTTCATAAGAACTTTGCCAGAGTTGATCTAAAACCTAATAAAAACCCTGGGGAACTGATGTGGTCAGATTATCATATAATTTATTAATGTAATAATAATTAAATTGCCCAAGTTTTATTTATTTAATCTTCTTCTAGACTCTAGATTTCATAACCCCACTTTGGATTAAGGAACTAATCTGACTAGACCCAATCAGTTAGCATTATGAGGGCATTTGATCCTGTTTTATAAATCAACATACATTCAAGAATCGTTGGGTATCTGTAAAATAGATTAAATCATGACCGATTAGTATTGTCCATGTGTGTATTACTGAGTATTGAACCTGAAAAGTACTAACTTTCATGTATTGTCCAGTCTGTTGATCAACTCTCAATGATATCTGAAATCTATCTTCATCAATTCCACCAGAAAATAAAATTGCTTGAACGTCTTGTTTTAAAATGCAAAAATCAGGAGAATGGGGTGATTAAATTGAAGAATTATTTTGAAATTAAGAGAAAGTACTTTAAATTATATAGATATGTCAAACAATTGGTAACTGAATTAATGTTTAGATAGAAAATAAGTAAAATAAGAAAACTCGGAATATATATCAGGAATAGGTACTTCAAAGCAAACTGCATAATACATGTGTTTGTATTAAAAGCAAACATGTCTCTATTACACTTTGATCTTGCTCCTTCTTGTTTGATATTGAATCTTAGATCGATTCAAGATCTTTGATAACACGTCCCTTTTAGGAGCATTTCTTGAAATTGTTGTTCAAAAGTGATTGGTTTCAAGACTGTTTCAACGCAATTTCTATACTCGTGTAAGAATCCTACTGAGTTGTACCTGGAGAACCCTACTCTTTGAAAATTAAAAAATCGTATTCAACGACCGTTAAAAATGGTATTCAACGACCGTTTGTAATATTACTTATAATATCAAATCCTGTTTTCTTGAAGGTTTTTTGAAGTTTTCTAAATGAAGTTTTCTAAAAGCTAATGCACTTAAAGTCTACTTTACTTGAATTATTGCCCCATGTGTCTGGATTTCATTTTGAAATATTTCGTTGACTGACGTGAGTGGTTTAGTCCTGCATTCCAGGAAGAAAAGAAAATTTCAGAGGTTTTATTATATAAATATATACATATCACCACAATTAAATCTTAATACACTTCGTCAATAAAGCATTTAGAATATGCTTCAAGATATAATGATATTAAATGGAATTAATTAATGATATTTGTTTAGTGTCACATGTCATTTATCGAGCCTTGGGGTAGAACTAGGTACGATCATAGTGCAGAAAATGCCAAATATTACATTTGTGTTTCAGTCAGGAGCAAACATCTTGGTCACTCATAAATGCATGTTATACATAATAAGGGCCAAACTTATTTATTATACAAAGACAAACATGTATAGTGATAGCATTGATTGAGATTTTTATTTGGACACATATGTTTTTAATATTGATGTCTGAAAGGTATGTTTTTCCGATACAACCCCAAACATGAATAATAGTGATGTCATAGATTGTTCAATGTCTATCGATACGTAACATTAACGTTTTCTTTCAACACAAGCCTGGTAGCATTTTTCTTTATTCCATAGTTGGAGTTCTTGGTCATACACAAACTGCAGATTTTTACTGGAATAGAAATAGGAAATACCACATTAAAATTATAGGTATTTAATCACTGCAAAAAACATACATACACACACACTAACTAGACGTTTGATTTTCAAATAGCATGACTGACTTTCTGTTATTGCTTTCCTGATATTAGTCATCAGAATTCTGTTTGAAGTAAGTGAGACCAACTGAAAGTTATTGCTCTAGCAGCAGGGGCCATTGGTCAGTGGGTGCAGGACTGTGGAGAACTTACATCAACAAACAAGTCTCTTGGTTCATCTGCAGCAACACCATCTTAGTCATCAATTTGTGGATGATACCCAAAACAACAAGTGCCAAGTATTTAGGACATCATGAATAAGTTGAGATAAATTAGAGGCAAACTTGAAAAAACATTCATTGTTATATAATAAACATCAACTTCACTTTGCTTGACACGCAACCGCAAACTAAACAGGAAAACCAAAATTATAACTTATGACTTTTGAGAGCTAAGCTGTGAACAATGTTTATAATAGTATGTTTAGGAGGAAGTAGTCAACAATAAAAGGCAGGTACAACTTAGTTATTTGTACGTATCTCAACCTGGATGCCATTCGATGCAAAAAGATTCAGAAATGAATCAGTTAATCCACATATAATCTTGTAAAATTATAGTAATGTTAATGGATATTTGCTGTAGCTGTATTAATACAATCATCAGGACCAATAAGCAGGCTTCAATGGGACTTAACTCTCCCAAAAATTAATCAAATGTCACAGGAAACTTAATGAGGAAACTATTTGAAAGTGGATGAATATCTATTTATTTAGTTGGATATCTATAGTGTTGGGATCTTCCCGTATATAGAATCCGAGACTGGTATATATATTTTCAGTTGGCTGCAGTTGAAAGGTAATATATTATTTGCAAGGGAAACCAATGAGTGACTTTCAGATTCAGTTTAATTGATGAAAATCTACCGATGCTGAAACATAATTAGAAAAGTTGGACGGATGAAATTTAATATTGAAAAAGTACAGCAGAGAATGTTATTTCTTATACCAATTATAAAGAAAGTGAGTTTTTGAAGATGAAAATATTTTGAATACTTTTGAGTTATAATTTTCTGGAAGTTTTGTGGTTTTGGGACCTGGATACAATCAAGCCCCCACTTATGAAGACAGAAAACATTTCGACCAATCAGAGTGCAGCATTGAAACAGGATTGAAATTACAGGAATCAAAACACTGAACACATTCATATGGTTCCCAGTTGTCCTGTTGGTTGCATTTGAATTATATTGTGCTGGAATTCTAAAGGATTCAAAGAGGGACAGGTGTTCCAGTGGACATTAGGATCATATAAAGCAACCTGAAGCTACACACACACCAGTCAGATAATATAAGTGTGGCCTGTCAGCTAATCAACACTGGAATTCAATGCTGCAAACTTTATAACTGCAAACTGGAATATTTCTGAAGACAATTAATTATTTCATTGGATTAAAGATATCATATTTTTCTGATCACCGACAAGTGAAATTATTGATTAAAACTAAAGCTTTAGATGAGAAAACATAAATAGACCAATTAATCAATAAGTGTGCCGAATGTTTGACAAATACAATTTGTGGATTCTGACTGATTAAGGTGAGACATTCCATATAAGTTAAAAGAATCTTGATAAGAAAATATTGACTTTGCTTATTATAACTTATGATAAGATACCAGTGGAATTTAGCTGATAATTCGACAAGTAACTTCTGTTGAAATGTGTGAAATATTATAAGAAATAGCATATGGCTTAACATTGGCATTTTCACTTTTCCTGAGAGATATCAGTGACTTTAAAAAGGAAACATTTTTGTTTGTTTAGTTATAGGAGAAGTATTTAATACACATGTTATCAGAACCTGTGTGGTTTTATTGACAGTAGAGGAGACTACAAAATTGAATAGACTAGACTTTTTAAGTCTGTAAGACTAAAAAGAAAAAAATTAGGAAAATAGAAGTACAAGGAATTGTACTGGCGTCATAAGTTCATATGTCAAACCCATTGACATCGTTATTGCACATGAACTGGTCGATTTATTTATAAACAAACAGAACTAGAACTTGGACTTATGAATAAGGATGGACTTATCAAAGTAAGGTCATAAATGGGAAAGAGGTGAACTTAGGAATGATAAAATCAGGAAGTAAGTCTTGAAATCTAGGAGAAAATTCCATTGAGATAAATCCCGTAAATTTAAGTAGACTTACATTGTGAATAATAACAGAGATACCAACATGTTAGCTGTTAAGCCATCAGTTGTGTTATACACAAAGAAATATAAAGAGAATTATCCCGAGCTACAAGAAAGGGCAAAGAAGTCACATGCCCAAGTTCAAGCTAAGGCTGTACAGGCCAAAACTGAACAGGACAATATTATACGAGAGCGCAATAACATCAAGGCCATACAACAAAAACTTGCAATGCAGAGGATAGCAAAAACATTACAAGATAGTGTATCACCATCTCAAGAACTGAACCATGTTAAACTGATACAAGAAAAACTAGCGAAAACTTTAAATCAAAATCTGTCAGATGAACAAAAACATGCGAAGCTGATACAGCAAAAGTTGGGTAAAGCAATACAAGAAGAACTATCTCACGAAAGGAACCATGCCAAATTAATCCAACAAAGACTTGCCAAGGCAGTACAAGAGAGCCTATTGAAAGCAAAGAGGGCGAGGACTTCTCCACCAGTATGTGAAATGATCCGTAAAAAGAAAAAAGAGAAGCCCCAAGTTGCTGTAGTTCAAAGACAAGTCCATGGAAACACTGTATTTGGAGTATTCACAATCTCTGTAAGTATGAAAAATATTTTTGAAAGCGTATTATACAGTAAACGTATTATTTTATATCCTTGACATATTGCAAGTATGCTGAATGGTGGAGGTTAGCTAAAGGTGAAGATGAAGCTCTCTTTCAAGAAGCAAAGTGAAATGAATTGAAAGGGTATATTGCAAGTATGAAAAAATGTTATTGAAATCATATTCCAGTAAAAGTATTATTTTAGAACCTGACATATCAATAAACAAAGTCTGGGCTATCTGTTTATTTAGTAAATGGCTGATGTATTAGAGTTTATGAAAATAATGATTTGATGGAGTTGGTTATTTGACATGAAGTCAGGTAATATCTGTAAAAATTCTTTTTGTCTAGATTTACCTCATCTTAAATCTTAAGTCTAAATTAGGAGAGGTGATGAGATGAGGTTTAAGGACTTCTAACCCCCCCCCCATTTTTTGTGAGATACCCAAATTGTGAAGTGTAACAGTGCTTATATCTCCACAAAGAAATTCTGATGCCCCCTCCCACTCAGTAATTAAGTCAAAGAAATTCATAATCTGACATATATCTGGTTATGTCACTACATGGCACATGTAATGAAACAATGCATTGTGTTGTTTGATACATACAAGTGTTGTTTGATACATACAAGTGTTGTTTGATCTTGGCATGTTAAAGAAGAACAAGGCACCAGATTATCCACCTCATCAGCTTAGTAAACAACTTCAGTGCTACTTATACACAAATGTTATTTATAAACAAATTAGAAATCATCAAATCTCTAATATAAAACCAATCAAATTGCAGGATTTTATTTATCTGACTTGTGCCAGTTTTACATAGGAATATATGCACAAAGGGTTTATAGTAAGCTATAATTAGGCAAACATTATTACATATGTATGTATTCTTGATGATGTTATTGTTCTGGATTTTAATGAGATCTATGGATTTGAGGGTCTTAATATAGGTGTAGAGGGATGTCTTGTATCAAGTTCTTGGAGGGGTAGGGGAGGCACAAGGGCTTGACGCAAGACTAGATGACTTTAAAAAATCATAGACCCCCTTTCCTAAGTGTTTATTTACATGTTAAAGAAATTCATAGTCTTGATATTTCTGTTCCTGATTTTGCTAAGGTAAGTTGTGTAAAATGCATAATCTTGTTATTAAAATGTAAAATGGTATACAAGTGTAGTCTTGCTTATAGACTGTGGACCTCTCCCCTATCAACTTCATCAGCATAACACAGTTGTAAATAAAGAAGATAAGTTTTATTCTACAGGGACCATCTTAGTTATTAAGAGTCAAATTCATAGCATTCCATTTATGAGGGATGGGATTCCATCTTTATAATGGCCACCTCAGTTTAACCCCAAGAGTATAAAGGCATCTGAAATATTCTCAAAACTTGTCTTTCATCTTGCTATTTGATTTCGTACAACTTCTTGTTATGATGATTGTGACCTAGGGTAGGGGTTTCGTAAATTAGCAATTCACTTTAATGCAAAGCTTTAGATTTTTCAAAGTTGACCCTCAGTCTATTCATAAATATATAAATTTTTAAAGGTGTGAGTTCAAGATTCGAAATTATGTCCAAATGAGGAAAAGTAAGTTCCATTATGTCATTTGTATCAATGCAAATGAGAATAAGGCTACCATTTTGTCTTAATGCATATTGACCACCCAAATGCATCTTCCTGGAAAAGATAAAAGAGAATCTGGCATTGAAATACCTTTCCTTGTCTTGTCATGTCTTCAGCATTTCCTCAAGATAAATTACTCTTTTCAGGAGATACTATGTAAATAGGGGAAAATACAAGCTCTTGATAAAATACAGCTGGTGGTTTTGGGAGATACATACAAGTAAAACATAAGATTAGATAAACGTTAAGTGTTTTCTCTGGGATTGCCTCAATTGCAATACAGTCCTGCGTGTTAGTTATAAAACCAGCTCCTTTTGTATCACTGGTCCAATGGGGAAAATACATGCGATGGAAAACATTTTGAATTGTGTGCTTTGGACTGAGTTTTCTGTGGGAAAGTGTTGGTTCTTGATGCTTCTGTTTTTCTGCATTCTTGATTATCACACTTGTGTCTTGAGTGAAGTAAAGATGTTTTCTCTGTTTTTGCTAATTGTTGATTTTATCTGAACTATTGAACATCTTTTCCCAGTGATCCTTTCTAGAGATCGTATCATGTCCACTTGCGATTTTAGCTCTGTTTTTCATATTTTAAGATATCTGACTACTAGCCCTAAGGAGTCTGGTGTCTCTAGTAGTTCTATTTAGACTATTTTGATACATTATCTATAATTGGGAAGTTGGTTCTTTTAGTTTATATTGTTTATTGGGCTTTGTATATGTTTATGTTCTTTCCTATCTCATTTTTTCCTGTAGATTGTAGACCCCATGTGTCCTTTATAGGCCATGTGTCTCATTTAAAGACCACATGTCTCAATAAAAGACCATGTGTCTAAACCTAATATCATATTTAAAGATTTTTGGCTTATGTATTCTCTTTTGTTCAATCTCTGCAATACGTGATAATGGTCATTGATGAGTATTAGGTATAGGTGTGATTCATTGATTAATAATTGAGGATTAATTGAGCCTGATCTGAATGTGTCATTTGATTACAGTTAACCATTGCATGAACTGACCTTTCATGCTTATGACACATCATTCTCTTATATAACATGACACATCATAATGACACATCATCTCTTACATAGCAGTAACTTGCCTGTCAGAAATTCTGCCTAATTTGGAGCATGGAATGCATGCCTGTTACTTTCAATCCTTCTGCTTTATTTTATCACAATTTAAAAATACCATCATTGATTTTACAGGATTTTTATGTAACCATCACCACACCACAATGTTTTAGTCTCCAACTTTTTTGTGGATGGCATTCGCCAGTTGGCATTCATCGGAGGGTGTTTGATGGTCTACATGGCATTCATGGATTTTCATATTTATACCTGACAGATTGTCAGACTGATTGGCCTGTATTTGGATATTGAGTCATGTACAGATCGATATTCAGGTAGAAGTACAATAATTGATTTCCTATCATATCATCTCTGTGTTCACATTCACTGAATTCCTGTAATATCAGAGGTATTGTTTCATTCTGAATCTACTTAATTAGAGTTGTTCCAACACTAGCATTCCACACTCTGTTGAACCCAGGGCTCCTCAGTTAGTGCACGGTCATGACATGCTTTGCACTCGGGAATCTATATATGGATTGTTGGTTTTTGTTCGACATTTACTCGTTCATTGAGAAAAACCCATATCGAACACTCATTGTATTTTATGTGTACTTAGACAATGTAAAATGATAAAATCATTGTGAAGTTGAAATACTGTAAATATATTGGGTCAGTCCTATTCCAAGATGAAACTGTTTTTTTTCAGTGATCAGTTTCAAACCAAGTGCTTAATAAGGGAACACACATTTGAAATTTACATTTTCAGTTTTTGGAGGGTACTCCATCAATAGATCTTACATGATATTTAAGCAATTAGCCCATGTTTTCTAAATGGTATACATAAAGCCCAGACACTATTCCATACATTCTTTAGAAAAAACAAAGAACATTCAAAGTTCCGCTTCATTATGAACTGATCCCAAGATAGATAAAACCTGTTAATAATAGATTCCATCATTTTTGTTAGATTTCTTGGTGAGATAATTTCAAATATTACAGATGTGGGCAATTTATTTGATGCATATGTCTTCATTTATTTGAGATAGGAATCTCATATTTTATATTCTGAAGTATAGAATTACTAAGGGCTCACTAGACATGATGTAATACTCATAAATAATGTAGAACCAGTCTACCCTGAAAAATATGGGTACCTAATTACTGCCATGCCCTCGCCCCCATAGTTATCATATACATGTATTAAATTTTCATATCACCCGTTGGATTTTTGGAAGCCATTACTCATATATTGTTTTGTATTTTTTTATCAGACTTTATTAATTTCCTGATTGTCTGACACTTTCCTGATCTTATTATCATATTGATCCAGTTTTACATTAATAATGACACTATCTCCCTTGGGTATACAGGTTAAACAGGAAAAAGTAGACCTCTAGTAATCTCTAAATTAGAAATAATATCAACTTTATTTTCAGGTGTTTCATTTAAATGAAATGAATTGACATTTCATATTCTTTTTTCCTGTCACACTTTATATTGTGACGATGGCTCTATTGTGACACAGACTCTCTTCAATGTTACATGTAGATACCTACAAAACAAAGCTTGAATACCTTTGATATTTTTTTATTGGATCATGTTTGAGAACTCATTTCAACCTCTATAAAAATGTATTAAATATAATGTACTTACATGCAAAAATATTTATTGCATTGTTTGATAGCTTCTTTATCCCCGCACGGAGTACCAATTACTGAAAATATATATCTGTGATATAAAGAGATTGCTTATCAAATATTCATAATATGTATTATGATAGAAAAATATAGCTTTATACTAAAGTGTTTTGAAGCTATGACAATCGTCAACGTATACAAGTATACAGTTAGTGTGGAATAGTCTTGCACGTTCAAAATATATTTGAGGATCGTAAAAGGTAAAATTGTGAAGTATGGGACTGCTATAGAAATGACAAGTAAGAAGAATGTAGAAGTATAATAATGAAGAAGTTAGAGTCAGTATGATGGTGATCAGATGGAAAAAGAGAAGGGTATGCCATATTTTTAGTATATACAATTTTATACTGATAAACAAAGTAAGGCTGAATTAGCCTAAATTGTATTTCCTTTGGAAACACTATAACATTGTTACAGCATGAGGTTAACCAACCAAGATAAAAGTTTATGATAAGAATTTTTTAGTGAAAGGGTTAAGCTGAGAATGACATGAAACATGCAGTTTTATACATCGTGCTTCATATAATTTAAATATACTTGTCATTTTGCCATGCATTGCTTTTTTATTGGTAGTTTTATACAAGCACGGGTATTCAAAATTCCAGTTTAAAATGCCAGTAAAATATGACCTGGGCAAGCTGAATACAGTTTTTCAAATAACTTCCGTGATGAAAAGTTTAGTTTATGAAATATCAGATGTAATTGAACATTCAGTATACTGTACATGTACATGTCAAGAAAGTATATTGTGTTGATTATAGAAGGAGACACGAAACTAAGAGATTTTTCATGATTTAAGAACAGAATGATCCAAACAGGAAAATCCAAGTAGAACTCGGTAACATTGATAGGATTTTACACAATACTGAAATTCAAATTTCGATTAATATAACTAAGGAACCATGAACATCCATGAAAATGAAAAGAAATCTGTGAACATACTTTACGTAATAATACACTCCTGTCATATGAATGAACTCTGATCCAGGCATTCTTTTAGTCACAAGATAATTTTAAGAAGAAATGATTATCAGATGATTAAGCGATAATTGAAACTGATTTGAAACATGAATATACAGTTAAGTAGTCAGTTGTATTAAACCAGCTCAAAGTCTACTCCAGTACATATGTTAATAAATACACGAGTCTAAACGGAATATGAATATTTCACTTATATAAAATTAGTATTGGGATACAGAAACTTGGCTCCAGTAGGCGAATGTCTAGTAAAATCAAATTGGTGAAACGTAGATCCAGGTTTAAATTTCGCCAAAGAAAGAAGGTAGGTCAAGTGGTGCTGTAGAAAGGTCATGGTGACCTTAGTTTTTTTTACTTTCAGATTTTTTAAAATGTTTTTTAAAATATGTTAATGGCTTTTATTTATACCTACCACCTACATAACTGTTCACAGTCCGTCTTAGATTTACAGATTTATTTTAAATACTTGAATCCAGCGATATCATTGATGCTATATGTGTTTTCAATTTCACGTATTTTCATCATTTTCATTCTATTTTATTTCCCTTCCTCATACAAAACTGATTTTCATTGCAGTAAAATTCAAAGCCTTAAAATCCTACCCTGCTATTCATTTATATCAGCAAACAGTTTCCTCGAGTCTGTGCTCTTGACTGTGCCTCTGTTTTATTGTATTTACTTAAAACAGTTGATTTTCATTATATTTTATTTAAGAAAAGTGTTAAAACAAGAAATTAGCACTACAAGTGACAACATTTCAAATACCAGAAAATCCCAGATATTTACATTGTCATTTATAAAATAAAGCAACATACAAAAACAACCTTACACGATAACATTGTGCCCCTGCATCTTAGTTTTTATTGAGAAAAAATTCACGACTCATGACTTTGAAAGGTTGTGCGTAAATACAGTTAACATACAATGATGTGTGTATCTTTTATGAAATTGTGACAAGGTCAGGTTTTCAAGTAGAGCTCTATGTTAGTTAAGTTCTTTTAAACACAGATGTATGTGTTAAGTTAATGGTTGAGATATCATTTGCAGTTAGAATAAATTTGAAGAAAGTTCAAACTTTGAAACTCATAACAAGAGTGAGTTGGGAGGCAAATGTGTTCTCTTAACTGCTTGAAGAAAGCACTTAGAGTTTGGTTTGGATTATTGGGAGTTTTCGTTTCATTTATGTCTTTATATCTGTATGGACACTATTATAAACAGGTATACCTAAAAACAAGCAAAAATAATTTCATTTTTCAGATTTGAAAAATACATGAAGTGGTATCTTGTATGAACTATTTTTACTTTATTTTAGATGCTTAAGATCAATATTTTGATTAAAGCAGTTAAGTATAGATTGTTTGCTTTGTGTTTTTCAGCCAAATGGAAATGGTCATGGGTTCAGTGATGCCCAGGGTTTGGTGAATATCCACATGACGCCAGATGAGCAGGGACGATTTGGCTTCAATGTAAAGGTGAGTGTTATAGCATAATTGTCCCAGATTATCATGTGATGTTATTAGCTCGTTGCTAGCTGGAAAACAGAAAGGTGTAATGAGTATTAGAATGGGAGGTGGGGGGGGGGGGTTATATATAGTCTTGATGCAAGACTATATGCATATGGTGGTCTATTAGTCCTAAAGGATTACATCATGTTGGACTTGTGTTTTGTGGTTGAATATTGCTCTTTCAGTAAACTGTGGTTAGATAAAAAAGAGTTTAGTAACATAGAAAAAAGTGTAAGATATATTTGATCTGAAGCGATATACTAATTATAGACACATGGACCTAATTATGTGGTTAGCTATTTGTTAAACATTATTTCATTTTTTACAAAACCACCGTCTTCCACATCTACCAATGGGAGATACTGTTGAGAAAGGAAATATATATTGGACTCATTTGAAAAAAACATGTGTTGTACCCCCCCCACCCACCATAAGTTTGACATCCCCAAGCTATTAATGTTTGGACCTTAATTTCGTTCCTCAGTTACTATATATTGGAAAGATAATTTTGATGAATTTGTTAATATTTCCAAGCATAAACAGCCTTTAATGCAAAGTCTGCAAGGTCTGAAAGGGGCCTTCTTGTTTCCATACTTTTCTGGGGGAGTGTACTGTTGTACACATATCATTGATACATTAATAGTCTCCATTATATTTCTAAAACTTGATGGACCAATCCAGAGCAAAGGTTAATTAGAATAGAGTGGCATATTGGGATAAAATAATAGCATGTTTAAAAGTGAAACTATAGGTATTGAATTTCAGTAATTTGCAGACAAACACTGACTAATACCCAACAAGACAAGATAAAACCTATCAAATTAAAATCACCATTTTCCCGATATCATCTGTTTAGAATTGAATAATAAATGTGTTCATGCAAAAAGTATCATAACATTTTTAGCTCATTTTACATCCAGGGTCGTTATGCTCTTTTGAGATAAAAAACATCAATATGGAAAAGGGCACTTTAAAAAATATAGAAAATTATTATTGTCAACATCAACTTGCTACCTTTTTAAAAGAGGCAATGAGGGCTAAATATGGAACTTCATAGAAGAGAATTTGAACATTTCTATTATTATATGGGATATTTCGCTTATCAAGGGGGTGAATTCATTGATTTGTGAAAAGTTCATGATATGCACTGTGTATTCAAAAGAGCAGCTGCCCTTATGAAAGTCCTAGAAATGATTTAGGGTTGGAGGCCTTAATTAGATGTATAAAATGAATGTTCTTTTAGATTAAAGACATTCATTTTTTCTTTATCTATTAATTCTATTCATCTGAATTATCGAAAAGGTTGCCACAAAAGTGTGTAATTACCAAATTGCCCCATTGTGAACAATATTTTAGGGTTAGCTTTGTATATATTTCTGTTTCATTTATAATTTATTTTTTGCTCCTGCTACCTTGTCTCACTCTATTTCATGATAAAAACATAAGGGATGGTTCCCAAATGTTAACAGTTGTAAAATAAAAATAAGATAATTTGATTTCCTTTTGGGGTAGGGTCAATCATGATTAGGGAAGAATGTTGTTATTTTTGAGAAATTAACATTTCTATATTTTCATACATGGGGTATGGGAGGAGAGTCAGACCCGTAGCCAGGGGGGTTCGAGGGTCTAGCGAACCCCACCCCGGCCAAAAAATCTGTCAAAATCATGCAGTTTTTCACCATTCTGAGCACTTTTTAAGTGATTTTGGCCATTTTTGGACCAAAATTGTCACAAGTAAACCCCCCCTGGAATTTTTCAAAAAGCGAACCCCCCTTGGCAAATCCCGGCTACGGGCTTGGGGGTAAACCAAATTAGAATTAAGTTTATTTTTCCACACCTTTTGCCATCTTGATATTATCCCCCAGCCCTGATGCAGTCTGTTTACTGGGTATGTTACATGATGTATAGAGGTCTTACAGAGTCTAACAGATGGTTGATACCCTAACAAGACCTATGATAGATTCAAATGCAACATGATAATACCACTTGAGCATACAATACTTTTTTCATTGGTTAATTACACATTATCGAGTAATTTGGCTCACGGATTTTATCTTTTATGGGTTTTAATTAATGATATCAGATTGTTACAGTATTATATTCTATTATATTCACATTAAGTTTAGTTTATCAATATGCATATACTGTAACTGATCTTCATTAGAGATCTTAGGTCAAGTCAAGGTCACAATGACATTGTATTATGTATCTTGTAAACATAACTGAACTGAATGACTCATTAACTCTTGGCCTTCTAGAAAGTACTGGAACTGTAATCATTTAATCAAGATTGAATCATGTGACTTAAGATGTCCAATCAGTGTTATTTTCTAGAAATCGTAACTTCTTGAAGCATCTGGACTATGCCTTTGCACTATATAATGAGAGAGCTGATTTGGGCTGTGAGCGGAATTTCAAAGTTTATCAAAAGGACATCTTCTTAGCAGATAATTACTGAGGGAACATTTATAACACTACAAACACACAACTTGAGGACTCTATATGGACAAATATTACAACACACACTATATACGGATTATCATATACATACGTGGATTATCATAAACATTTGTGGATTATCATCAAACATTTGTGGATTATCATCAAACATTATTGGATACGAACATTATAGGATTACGACAAACATTATTGGATTATTACAAACATTGGAGAACTATTAACGATTACTGAAACTTTCGTGATCTGGAACATTCTCAAGGATCGTCAAGGATATTTATCGACATCAAGAATAAGCAGTACCATTGATTGGACATCACTTAAGTATTAAACCTCCTTTATATCATTGTTATATTATTTAGTTTTCAAAATATAAATATATTGTTATCATATTTTAATTGCTGTTTTTACATTCTGTTATTTTCGAACGTAACAGAAATTGGGGGCTCGTCCGGGAGACAACTACAACAAGCTAAAATTCAAATATTTCAAAATTCGAAATCCAAAACTTGTACATTTAAATTGTGAAGACAGCAATTAATTGAAAATGAGTTTTGAGGTTGAGACATTTTTAGGATCGCCCTCTTTGGAGGAATTTGACAGTTTAAAGAAAACTGAACTTCTGGTACTAGCAAAACATGTTGGTTTGGCAGTAAAAACTTCATACCGAAAAGGTGCAATAAAAAATATTCTGGTGCCATATTTGGTGGCGGAAGAAATATTACCAGAAGAAGCATTAAAGCTTACCACGGAGCCAACCCAGCATGTTGATCCTATTGAATTTCAACAGCAATTACAAATGAGAGAACTTGAACTCAAATTACAAAATGAAAGAGAATTGAGACAGAAAGAATTGCAAAATGAAAAAGAAATAAGATTAAGAGAACAAGAAATGCAAAATGAAAAAGAAATAAGAGAACAAGAAATTCAAAAAGAAAAAGAGGTTGAGTTAAAACGTCTTGAGATAGAAGCTCAATCCAAAACTGATGAACATGCTACTATGCATCAACATTTTGAAAATAGGTTTGACGCTTCAAAATTTCTCAAATTTGTACCTAAATTTCAAGAGAAAAATGTTGATAAATACTTTACACATTTTGAAAAGGTTGCTCAGAGCCTAGACTGGCCTAAATCTGCATGGCCAGTTATGCTCCAGAGTGTATTCATTGGAAAAGCAAGTGAAATATTTGCCTCTCTCTCAGGAGAAGTATGCTCTGATTATGACCTAGTTAAAAATGCAATTCTTAAAGCTTATGAACTAGTACCAGAAGCTTACAGACAAAAATTTAGAAATGCCCACAAACAGAGTGACCAAACCCATGTTGAGTTTGCTAGAGAGCAAGAGCAGCTTTTTGACAGGTGGCTTGTCTCTAAAGATGTATCTGAAGAGTTTAAAAAGCTCAGAGAGCTTATGCTAATAGAACAATTTAAAAACTGTGTTCAGTATCACATTAGAACTTACTTAGATGAACACAAGGTAGAAACTTTAAGCCAAGCTGCCACCCTGTCTGATGATTATGCTCTTACTCATAAGGGTAGTTTTATCAAAGGTAATCCCAACTTTAGAGGTTATCAAGGTAACAAACCTTCATATGATTCAAAACCAAATCAGTCCTCATCATCAAATGCATCAAACAAAGCAAAAGACCAGTCTAATTCATCACAGAATTCTAGCTCAAAATCAGATCAATCAAATTCTTCAGGTCCAAAATCAAATGTCACCTGTAATTATTGTAAAAAGCCTGGTCATCTTATATCTGAATGCTATAGGATAAAGAATAGAAGAGAGATGTCTGGTTCTGCTCATTCAAATGGTTGTGCTACAGTTCCCATTTCAAGAAAGCCCATTGTTTGGGATTCATATACTCATACTGAGAAATCTACTCATAGTGATATTATGGAGGATTATAAGCCTTTCATGTCGGAAGGATTTGTGTCACTTTCAAGTGATGATGCCAATTCAAAGCCTGTTAAGATTCTTAGAGACACGGGTGCATCACAGACTTTGTTGTTAGAAGGTGTCCTTCCTTTATCTGAGGAGTCATTCACAGGTACCCATATTTTGATGCAAGGCATTGAATTAGGTTTTACTAAAGTTCCCCTCCATCGTATTCATATCACATCAGAGTTAGTCAAAGGGCCAGTTATTGTTGGTGTTAGGCCACAACTTCCTGTTGAAGGAGTCGCATTGCTTTTAGGCAATGATTTAGCTGGGGGTAAGGTATCATTAGACCCCATTGTTTCAGATCAGCCTTGTTCTATTGAGGATTCTGTCCAAGAGGACTCTGATATATATCCTGCTTGTGCTGTTACTAGGGCTATGGCTAAAAAGTTAGCTGATAGCGGGGATTTGTCTGTGGGAGATGACTTTCATAGTGGGTTTTTAAGCTCCTTGTTTGATGATGAATGTCACTCACCACTTGTTAAAGATGATCCTTATCCTATTTTAAAGGCAAATTCTTCATTGAAACAGCCTTCTGTTCAAGCCAAGCAGTCATCTATTGAGGCAA